ACAATACGGGGAAGCATAGAGCACACAATAAAACATGTCCAAGGGAACCCCACCAGACCGGACATGGATGGCACGCTCAGTCCCCCTCCTTGGACTCTGCTCCTGAGCCATGCTGTGTCCCATACCCTGAAGACCAGCATGAGTGATTTTAACTGGTTCATGCCCATAGCAGTCGCAGTCCTTGAGTTGCAGGCAGCAGAAACCTATTCTAGGCAACCAAAGCAAAGAGATTTTCTCGAAAAGCTATCTAGAAGACACAGAATCAGTAAGAAGGCTGCAAGCCAAGCAGAAAGTAGGTAGCTCTAGAGACTGGTGAGTTGAAATGAAACAAACCATCTCTTGCCAGAAGAGATTGATCCTGGGTCTCTTTGTCCCTCTGCTCAGATTGTCCTGTCTTGGGTCAGAGGGTATCCACGGGGAAAGAGAGAATTTCCTAAGAAGAAATCATATACTGGTAGCTGGGCCACCACGTTGCACAACTTCAGGAGGCACCATTCACGTGGATTATGACATGAATGGTATGCCCTTGGGTTGTACAACACACCAGCTCTGCAAATGAATTCCTCTCAACCCTCTGCACTTGTTAGATACACCACCCACCCACACTGCTCACTCCCCACACAATTAACTAGTTATTGTATTTTCTCCAGTTGCACTGGAAGATTCTTAAGGGTAGACTCCAGAAAGTCAACATCTCTGTTTCTAATACCACATGATAATCATCCAGAGCAGTAGTTTCCAACAAAACTCTTGCTTATATCCACGATTAAATATTTATTTCCTTTTAAAAATGAATGGACCAGTATATTTAGTGCAATGAAACAGGAATGTTTCCATCTGGCACCCACCATGTCTCCATGTTATCCTTGTAAGGTACTAGGAATTGACCATGGAAAGGAAGGATAGATATGTTGAGGACGTGGGCAGTTAACAGAAGCCAAAGGCTATGCTAAGAACAGGTCTCCTGGTAGAAGTTCGGTTCTCAGGGCTGGCCTGGTGGCATAGTGTTTAAGTTCACACATTCCGCTTCGGCGGCCCGAGATTCACCAGTTCGGATCCTGGGCATGGACTTACTCACCGCTCGTCAAGCCATGCTGAGGCAGCGTCCCACATAGAAGAGCTACAACTCTACAACTATGATATACAACTATGTACTGGAGAAAAAAGAAAAAGAGGAAGATTGTCAACAGATGTTAGCACAGGACCAATCTTCCTCAAAAAAAAAAAAAAGAAGTTTAGGTCTCAGTTTGCCTGAGGAGGCTTTTTAAAGATTTTATTTATTTATTTTTTTCCCCTTAAAGCCCCAGTAGATAGTTGCCCATCATAGCTGCACATCCTTCTAGTTGCTGTATGTGGGACGCGGCCTCAGCATGGCCGGAGAAGTGGTGCGTCGGTGCGCGCCCAGGATCCGAACCCGGGCCGCCAGCAGCGGAGCACGAGCACTTAACCGGTAAGCCATGGGGCGGGCCCTGAGGAGGCTTTTTAAAAGGAGAATTAACCTCATGTCCTTGATATTGTTTCATATGGGCAGCTGCTCATGCACCAGCCACGCTACCTCTGGCCTAAAGCTCCTTTTAATGGAAAGAGTTTGGTCTGTCTCCAAATATTTACTGAACAGCAGTTAAACGCCAGATTCTGTGTGAGGCAGGAAGTCACCGTGCTATTAAAAGAGATCAGTACCTAACGCCATCAATAAATCAGTAAGCATTTATTCATCTCTATCCTCCTCTGCCATCCCTTTACCCTCATCACCAGATTGGCTGCTCTGAATGGCCCATTCCCTGATCCAGTCTCTTGTATCAGCACCCAGGCCCAGACCCTTCTAGCAAGTAGAGGACTATAATAGCAGGAGTAAGAATTAAGTTAGTTGGCAAACCCATGGCCTGGGTCTGGATCTGCTCATTCAATAACCTCATTCAATAACTACATATTGTGCCCTGCTGTGTGTTAGACTCTGTGCAATGTACTGGAAGCCATGCAAACAAGAAGACACAGAAACCCAGGCTAGTAAAGGAAACAGCCCTATAAACAAATGATTACAAATCTGGATAGCCAGTGATCCAAACAGTTCACATAATATTCTTGTCTACTATTGTATCCAGCACCTAGCATAGTACCTGACCTCTATTAGATGGATGCTCAGTAGTGTGGATTGGTGAATGAATATACTAATGGCAAACACTTATTGAATGCTTACCATATGCCAGGTGCTGTTATAGAGTTTTACATGTATTAAATTATTCGATGCTCACAACTCTCTGAGGTAGAATTACTATCACCCCATTTCCTTAGAAGGAAACTGAAGAAAGGTTAGGTACTTTACCCAATTAGTAGGAAGAAGAGCCCGGATTCAAGCCCAGCCCCAATAGTCTGACCCTAGAGTCTGTGCTCTTAGCCACTCTGCCTATCATATGCTAAGTGCACCGTGCTGGAGAATCACAGAGGAGGCAGTCACTATCTGAGGAGCTGCACAAGGTTTCAATATTCAGTATTGACATGGATGGCCCCCCAGCACCATAATGTCTCAGCTCCTTGACCTCCATGCTTCCAACAACTATTTCCATCATTCCACCTCAACCACTGTCTCCCATGTCAATCCTGCATTTTGTCATCACCAGTAAATGTACCACTTCTGAAATATCAGTGTCAAGCCTCTGCCCTCTGGCTTCGCCATATCCTTCCAGCTTACCTATCCTAGGACCTTGATTCAATAATGGAAACTCCATTCAGCCAATTCCACCACTATTTTTACTATCCATCAACCCCTCCTGCCTTCATTTTCTTCCTTACCCTCCTCAGAGTCCACGGTCTATTATTATAAGCTTTCCCCTGCATCTATTCCCAACAGCCTGGTCTTTCTCTCCTTATCATTCTTGTCCAGCAAAACTCCAGCCCAACCATCTACCCTCTCTATTCTTGCATCAGAGCTACTCAATGTTGCTGAGAAAATATACATCTGGAATGATTGAAGTATCTTTAAATTCATGGCCACAAACCTCAAAAAAAGTATTCAACATTGGCTAGGAATCCTACTGTTTTTCAAGTAAATTTCTTCCCCACTGTCCATGATGACGGTTGTATACCATTTTCTTGCTCTTCAATGTACCACAGCCCTCACCCTCCACCTTCCCCCACCTCTTTGTCCATGACCTTAACTGAGAAAACGGAAGTAGTCTCAGGAGACTGGGCAAAGCCTTCCCTTGCCACCTTCTCAAACACTTCATCCCTCCAGTCATTGCCTCTCTTCTGCATCTTCAGTCTCTCTCTTTCTACCAGGTCATTCCCTTCAGATGGTATCTCCCATCTTAAAGAAAGAAACCACTTTTAACCCCACACCCTCCTCCAGTTATTATTCATTTTTTCTGCTTCTCTCTAGAGCAAATCTTTTTTACTTCCTCACCTCCATATCACTCTTCAGCTCACCCCATCTGGGCCTTTGTTCTCACTTCTCCAATGTTCTCATCAAGGCCACCAAATGACATCCATGTTGCCAAATCCACTGCACATTTCTGTCCTTATCTTATGCAGACTCTCAGCAGCATTCAACACAGATGACCGTACCCTCGTCTTTGAAAAGCATTCACCTCCTAGCTCCTTTGATCCCACACTCTCTGGTTAGCCGCCACTCCACCGCCACTCCTTCTTAGAATTCTTGTAAGTCTTCTTCTCTATCCGAATGTTGGAGGGCCTCAGGAGTGGTCCTGGCTGTTTCTCTTTCTCTGTCTATTAATTCCATCTTCCTACGGGAGGTCTCATCCTATCCCATGGCTTTATCACCATCTACATGTTAATTCACAGCTCTATCTCTGACCTATTCCCCAAAATTCCAGAATCGTGTATCCAAATGCTTTCAAGTACCCTTAATAGCCACCTCCCAGAAGTAGAGCTCTTTAAGTCACACCACACACACACACACACATACACACACACAAACTCCTTCCTCCCCAGCTCCCTCATCTCAGTAAGTGGCACGCCCATCTACCCAGATGCTCAAGCCAAAACCTTCCCATGCCCTCATTCTCCATATGCAACTCATTGGTAAGTCCTATCTCCCAATATAGCCATGATTTCATTCATTTTGCTCTGTGTCTACCACCACCATGCTCACCAATCCCTCGCTCACCTCGCGAATGAAGACCCTCCACTCTACGCCTCTCCACACAGCAGAATGATCTCTTCACAACATAAATTAGGTATTTTCACTTGGCTTACTACTACCTTTCTCCTTACCATGTCCTCGAGATCCTGAAATATGTCTTCCCTCAATCTTTCCCTTCTCTTCTCAACACAGCCTCTTTTGTTCTCTATGCTTCAACACACCCATCTCCCTCTGTCCTTCCAACTTCCCAAATTCTTCTCCATATCGGGGCCTGTGTCCTTATTCTGGTGCCCTGAAATGCTTCTCTCCAAGCTCTTTAAACGGTAGCCTCATTTTCGTCTCTCAGGGCTTAGCTCAGATATCTCCTTAGAGATGCCTTGCCTGACCGGCCACTGTATCAAACATGGCATCTCCCAGTTCATCCTTTCAGCAAATATTTACTGAGTGCTTCCCAGACATTGTTGTTAGTGCTTTATACCAATGAACTCTTTTATCCCTCACAGCTCCATGAAGTGAGCACTGTTATTATCATTATTATACTCATCTTAAAAACCAGAAAACTGAGGCCAAAGAGAACATGACTGTCCAAGTCAAACAGTAGAGGTGGTCTCGGGATTTAACTCTGCACCGCCTGGCGCCAGCCTGGCCTCTCAACCGTCACACCATCTGCCTCTCTCACGTTACCTGCGTGTCTCCTTCTGGCACTTTTTACAATCTAGATACTGTCCTGTTTCATTACTTATGTACTGTCAGCCTCCTCATTAGAATATAAGCAACATTTGGACGGAGACTTTTTTTTCATCACTGGATCCCCAGGACACAGTGAGCACAGATCATATGAGCAAATCATTTTTGTTTTCAATGATGGAATAACATTATGTACATTTTATGTATTTTTCAGAGCAGATTTATTATGCTGGCCCCATCAATAATCCTGGATTTGAAGTTCCTGTGGTAAGGTTTTGGTTTTCTGTTTTGTTTTGTTACTTAATTGCTGTATTGAGCAGTTTCTTGAAGGAGGGGGAGGAGGAGACAAGGAGGAGGAAGAAGAGGAGGAGGGCATTGAACAGTTTAGAACTTTCCCATAGGCCATCACTAAGAACACTCTTTCTCAATACAGCTCTTACCTCGTAGTGGGCACTTACACGTACTTAACACACCGGTTTTGTCATTTTGGAATTTAACTTATGTCCTGTCGGACCCTTGGGGATCCTCTGGGTAGACAGCTCCCACTGAGAGGGATGCCTGTATCCTGTCCTGCAGGGTTGCTGTGTCTGCGGGGCTTCATATGCCTGGAGCAGCTGGGGTGGGTGGGGGGCGCGGGTCAGCCACATGCATGCAATTACTGGCGCTCGGTAAAGCTGGCTGTTCCAAGAAAGAAAGAAACACACAACCATGCAGGCTTAACGGTCAGTCCCCCAGTTACCATCCTTGCATTACTAATCATGGGCTGCCACCAAATAAATAAAATGCCCATATCCTGAGCATTCACTGGTGAGCCTCACAGCTAAGAGTAGAATTTTCTGCTAATTCCTTTTTGCTCAAAATAATGTGGCTTTATAAAGTGGCTGAATCAAAGCAGCTCTGACATAAGCAATACATTTTCAATATGCTACTCCTCAGGGAATCTGATAGAATAATATAAAAAGAATCACTAAAATGTAATCATTTTAATGTTTTTAATTTTCCACTTCATCCTTTCAGTCTTCCAAAATCTGTAAATGACCCTAGAAAAGGATCTCCTTCTCCATCAAGGGTCTCTTGAACTTAGTTTCGTTTCTCTTGTATGTTTCCTTTCTGGCCCGCCTCTGGGTTCCTAGGTTCAAAGCTGGCATGGCTTTAGACCATCTCAGACCTTCACTAACATTGCTCCAGCAACCGGGCAGTTTCCTGCCTTCCCTTCCTCTTCTGGGGCTCTTCTCCAGGGTTTTCTCTTCAGGCCTTTCAGTATAATTGGAGAGTTTTGCAAACTCTCTTCACTTCCAGGATGTGGGACCTAAATTCTCCAGATAGTTTTTTCTTTAAATCTTTGCTTATTTGAATTCTTTTTCCTTGCCCATTTTCCTTCTGACCACCCCCGCCCTCCCCCCCTCCACTGGAGATTGACTTACAATTTGCAAACAATTGATTTCAATCTTGCATTATTGGCTTTTTTTTTTAAACCAGGTCCCTTTAGCAATTGCCGTGAAATAGAGAGGGAAAGAACTTAAAGTCACAGAATCACTTTGAGAGAAAATTTACCAGAGATGTAAAAGCTTCATTGCAGTCACCAGGCTGCTTGGTGAGTGCAGCACCTGCGTTCCTTTACCAATGACGGTGCTCAACAATGCTAGCCAATGTGAGGGCAAAGACAGTGGTCAGGTCTCCTGGCACTTGGCCTGGTTGTTTAAGCATCCGCAGATTCTCAGCGCCTGGTCCTCCTACCTCTTCCCCATCTGATGCCCAGGCTGGGGAAGCAGAAACCTCGCTAGCTCTGACCCTGCCTCAGCCTGCTGACACCTGGCCAGACCTGACAGGGTACATAACCCAAAGGAGACACATGAGACCTGTCACGTATGCTGCAGAGGCATCTGGAGGCCGTAATCCCAACATAGGCTCCAACGCTGGCTGAGAACCAGCTCAGCCAGCCCAGGCTTCCCTGGCTGACAGCCAGCCAGCAAGGCTCACAGACTTTGTTTCCTAATATGGGACAGAGACACAGTGTGAAGCCTTTTGATTTTAAAAGTCCTACCCCAGATCCTCTCCTCCCACCAAATCCCCAAGAGATGGGCTCTGTGCTAATTCCGTCCCTGCTTGGCCGAAAATTTTTCCACTCGGCAGTCAATCTTCAGTGTCTTCGTATTATTTTCTTTTTAACACAGCCAGTCCCTTGGCCCAGACTGAAGTCCTGCCTGGAGCCCTGCATCTGTCTATGACTGCTGTTTTCTGAATTAGAATTTAAGATCCTAGGGCTTCCAGAGCACATGGACAACAAGTTGTAGATACAGCCTGACCTACGTAAGTGCCAAGGATACAACCACAAATTCCTAATGCTCTGATTCAGTGCCCTCCTCACCAGCAGAAAGGCCACTGCAATCTGTCCATTGTCCCTACTCTGCCCCTTCTGTCCTTCCAGCATGTTCCTCCACCCACCTATGCAAGGCACAGTTGCCTAAATACTCTCACCTCTTAAATCAGAGTACATACATCTTGTAATTCATAATCTAGAACCCCTGCCTTCGAATACTACATCTTTTCCTAGGCTTATAACACAATAATGAAAAATTCATTTGGTTTTTAATTATTCTGTAGGGCGTGTCCTTAAATTCACATGGACAATTAAGAGAAAAGTAGATGATGATAATTAAACACAATCTGATGCAAATTTGAGCTGGTCTTTACTCATAATTAATTCTCTAACTTTTACACTGCTTTGGTTAAATCCCTAACACTGCTTCTGAAACCGCAGCTGCTCGACATTGGAGCAGACCCAGGGGAGCCCGTACTGTCACCGAATCCCCCAGTTGAATGGCGCCTTAGGTCACTTGATGCAGTCCTCACACCCCGAGAGGAGCCTGGCTCTCCAGAATACAGTTCTCAGTGCTGGGGAACCCGCTCTTGGGAATCTGCTAATTGCTGGAAAATTGTTCTCTTCTAACAAAAACTGCCTCTCATGCTACTTCTACACAGTGGTCTGATTTACTCCTTCCCTCCGGCTTATACAGACTAAGCCCCCTTTCTTCTTCGAGTGACAGGCACGTCAAGAGGTGCCAGGAGTCCGTTGTGCGTCCTTCCCTCTTGGGCCCTTTGCCCTGTTCACCACTACCTCCCCCCCTCCCAGAGCTCATCTTCTGCAGACTGGTGAGTCTGCAGACACGTTTCCACCAAGTGACCCGTGGGGCTGGGTGGGGGTGGTCTACGGCAGTGAGCAAAACAGATGTGGCTCAACCCCGGGTTCTTTCTGCAGTTCCAGAAACAGCCTGGCCAGCAGCTGCTGCCGCAGACAAACGGAGTCCTCTGTGGAGTGTTGTTGCCAGAAAGGAACCCTAAAAAGCAGCTATACGTTTTGTGATAGAGCGTTTTGGTTTCATGCAGTTGAATTTTGCTCCCTACAGTTTTCTTCATCTCAGCAAATGACACTTTATCCTTCTGGTTGCTCAGGCTAGAATCCTTGGCCTCATCTTTAACCCTCTTTTTCTCTCCCACCCACATGGGTTTCCTCAGCAGTTCATAGTGGCTCTTCTTTAAAAAAAAAAAAAAAAAAAATCCGTCCAGAATCCAATGTGCTCTCCTCGTCTCCACCATCTGCTCCAAATCATCACCACCTTTCACCTGCTCACGGCAGTCACCGCCTACCTGGTCTCACCGCTGCCACCCTCTCCACCATCAGTCTCTTCAGCAGCCAGAGGGATCCTGTTAACACAGACCTCAGATCAGGCCACTCCTCTGGGGAAAAGGCTCTCACGACCTGCGTCCCTCTCAGAGTGAGGCCAGAGTCCCCACCTCCTCTCCTCTCCCTCCTCCTGTGGTTCTCTCTCCCTGCAGCCCCGTTGGCCTCCTCTCTGTTCCTCAGACATGGGACCACCAGCCCCCAGAGCAGCCGGCATGCTCCCGTCCACCCCCACCCCCGCCACGTGCATTCTCTCCATAGCATCAGCATGCGACAGAGCACACACAGTTAATTGTCACGTGCATCGTCTGTCTCTCCAGCGAGCCCCTGAGCTCCACAGGGCAGGGCTTGGTTTGTCTGGTTCTACTTTATCCCGAGTGTCTAGAACAGTGCCTGCATGTAGAAGGTGCTCAGTAACTGTTTGCTGAATGGCTGATAGTTCCGTGGGACACACACCTCATGTTTTTGTTGTGTCCCTTTCAGGGAGAATACCAGGTTTTGCTGGAACTGTATAACGAAAACCATTCCACCGTGGCCTGCGCCAATGCTACTGTCATTTGCTCCTGAGCAGCCCCAAAGTGCAGCCAGCTTGTCTCATGGGAACTCCAAGCTCTCAGACTGAATCTACTGTGTGAGAAGAACAGTCGACGACAGAGGGAGCCTCGACAGCAAGGCTCACCCAGGTGCAGCCCCCAGGACCAGAGGGCCCCAGACTCCACAGATGTAATGGAGCCCCTGAAGTTATCTGCTTCTAAGGAGCCTCCTGGTCCTGGGAAAGCTAAGCAGTCTCAGGGGTCCATCTTTCTTCTCTAAGTGGTTACCTCACAGCAGCCCGAGCTGATTTTCAGCTCCTTAGGAGCACTTCCTCAGCTACCCCGAATAAAGAACGCTGGCCCACAATTGTTCCTCATGGTTTGTTCAAAGAATCGTAGGACAATACTGTAGTTATAATGTAATTTCCTCCAGACACAGTGCCAGGTGCTGGCACAGCGTAAGTAGTTCTAAGAGACTCAGGACAATGACGGTGCTGCTAAGATTAGAGCACTGGGAAAACGTGCCATTCCTTCTCCTGGGCGAGCCTCACGCCCTTAGACCGTGAGGCCCGAGAAGCTGATGACACTTCATAAAGAGTGACATCAAAATCTCGCTTGAGCAAGCCTCATTATCCCTTCATCCCTGAAAGCATGGCTCTCCCTGGCCTCAGCACAATGGCTCTTGTCAATATGTTCATTAATTCCTTCAGAGAATAACTGCTCAGCACATATGCCCCCAGCCCTCTGCTCAGCACTTAGGATACTCCAGGGAGCAAAACAGACACTGTCCCTGTCCCTGTCCCCATGGAGCCTGCAGTCCCCCAAAATATTAAAAAGCCACATGCCAACAATGGACACATTCATTCACATACAGACACACCTCCTTCGATGCCCGCTGTAGATGAGCAGGTTGACTGTCTGTGGTCAGAGCCATTTTGGCAGCCCGGTCGTGTTCTATCCCCAGATGTGAAGGATCATATGGTGGGCTCCGCAGCCCCTTCACCATCCTGTGCCCTCCTCCCCACCCCTCTCCTTCCAGCATCTCTGGGCCCAACGTCCGGCCCTCTTGCTCCTGCTAAGGGACTGGAGTTGGGTGACTGGGTTGACTTTATCATTTTCAGGCCTTTTATATTCATAAAAGTCCCATTATGTTAGAAATTAAAAGAGAAAAAAATCCATAGTTTAAAAAATGTCTGTTGCTATTAATTACGGTCTGAACATAATTCAAGTACCTGGAACAGCAGGTCATAGATGCCTGGTGACTCAAGACTTTAAAACCAGCACCTGGGGTTTTCTGGGCTATGGAGAGACAAAATCATAGCAGTGACCCTGCCTTCGCCCATAAATGCTTGGGAGAAAAGACACACTGTGGCCGTGCCAGGCTCGGAGCACACCCCTGAGCACACGGGGGGTGACACTGTTATGGACACAAACAGCAAACTGAGTTTCTGATCCTTCTTCGTTCCTTCCAGCGAGACATTCCCCCACTCCCTTTTCAGTAAACATCCTGAGTCCAATAAAGGCCGTGGGTCCATTCAGAGTACTCACACGTTCCAACGGCTCAGGACAACTGTCACAGCTTCCAGAGACGGGCAGGGAATAGGGAACAAGCTCACTTTTTAATCTTTCTACAGCTCAGCTGTTCCCTTTCCTGTTCTTGACTCTCTTCTTAAAATTCATTGACAATATGTGTGTATGTGAGAGAGAGAGAGACAGAGACAGAGAGACAGAGACAGAGACAGAGAGTGTTTCAGATGCTATAGGTTTGGGTTAAACACAGATTCCCACGTATGGGGCTGACCCTAGCCATGACTGGGTACACATGAGTACACAGCAGAGGCACTAACGGTGTGATTTGAGAGAAAAAGAATGTTTTTCTCTGCCCCCAAATATGCTCGTCCTTAATGTCCTGTCATGGGCCTTAAATTTCACTATGAGTTTCATTCCTGCGAGTTGAGGAAGTTTTTCACTGTTTGTGAGTCTCCTATTAAACTACAAACAGTCTTGGTAGGAGAAACGCCAGAATCATTACCACTATTTAACCCTCTGGCAGAACATAGTAACTACGATGAAGTTTGGAGTTGATCCCAGGAAGCAGGAGGTATTAAGGGGGAAGGGGGCAGCCCCCAGGCATGCTTTCCTAGGTTAGCCATCTATGTGTGTGCCTGGGGTGGGGGGTGGGGGGGGTGCACTGACGAAGAACTTAATTTACTTCTCATCTTCTCATAAACAGAGCTTGCTACTGTTTCAAAATCATCATCAAGTATTCTAAAAATTTCTTCTCAGTAAACTTCCCTGAAAAAAAAATCATTTTGGTTCAAGATGATGATGATGATGATGATGATGATGATGATGATGATGATGATTATGCTGTGCCCCAGAACCCAAGAACTCCTGTGGAAATCAGCCAGCTCCAATTATTTTGGTTTCCAGAGGCTCTTCCTTATATTTTGAGGAAAATCTCCTTTCAGTTCTAACTCTCCCCCGGCTGTTAACTGGGTGAGTGACTTCAATCCTCTAAGCCTCAGTCTCTCATCCATCAGTGCCAAGGATAATAACACCTCCCTTATAGAGATACTATGAGAATTAAATGGGAGGATGTGTGGAAAGCACTTAGAACAGTGCCCAGCATAAATAAAATATAATAAAAGTGATGGTGCCTTAATTTGTTCGAGCTGCTATAACAAAAATACCACAGACTGGATGGCTTATAAACAGCAGACATTTATTTCTCACAGTTCTGGAGACTGGAAGTCCAAGATCAAGGCTCTGGCAGATTCGGTGTCTGGTGAAGGCCTGCTCCTGGTTCACAGACAGCTGTTTTCCAGCATGTCCTCACATGGCAGAAGGGGGAGGAAGCTCTCTGGGTTCCCTTTATAAGGGCACTATCACCTAACCACTTCCCAGAGGCCCATCTCCTAACACCACCACATTGGGGGTTAGGTTTCAACAAATGCATTTGGGGGGACACATTCAGTCCATAGCAGGTGGGCATTCGCCTGTGGAGCTAAAGCCCCGTTTCCTACTTCACCTCTCCCCTCTCTCCTGCATTCTCCAGGCAAACTGTCTTCGAGCCCCGCCCTCACCCACCAGCCCACGTTCCTTTGATTGTTCCTTGATTTCTTCTAAGCCTAGCTGGTTTCATCAGACCTGGAGCAGGGGCGTGTTCACTGAGCTACATGCTCCCGCAGTGAACTCTGAAAAGAAGTTAAGGGAAACATTCAGGTACAAATTTTCCTCCCAAAAGAAACATTATAACCAGGCCAAAAGGGCCTAGGAAAGAAAATGTGTGTAATTTTTAATTAAACTTGTTTTCCTGCAAAAAAGATACACATTCAAGATGAGAAGACTAAATGTAACATCTGCAAGTTTAAGAATCATGACTGCCATCTGAAAAAATAACCCAAAATAGCTAGTGAGAGAACAGAAAAGGCCACATCCTGATTTTAGCCCGGGTTTGTGAAGGAGGGAGAGTTTATCGGCTCAGCAGTTCAGTCTCAGTCAGCAAAACAAGTTCCTCTGTCTAATTTCCTGATCATTTTATCTGGCTAGCAGGGGTTCCAGAGGATTTGGGAAAGAGCTATTTTACATCCAGTTTGTAAACATCTTCAGTGGTTCCGTTTGGAGCTGAAGCCTTCAGCTGTCTTCACGCGGACCAGCCTGAATTTTTTTTCTCTCCTCTAACCCAGCTTTCCTTGAAAATGTGTGACAAAACCAAATTCTTTCCTCCAATACTTTAGTCTCCTCATTCCTGAGGAAAAGAATTTATGCATCAGTGTTATTTCAGCTGAAAACAGCGATTTCTTCCTCCAGCGATATTTTTATGGATTCCTTGAAACCCAGCCAAGAATGGAAAGAAAGAAAATATCCATGCCACGCATCATTTTATTGTGACCTTCCCTCCTTTTCTTCTATTCAGAAGTTGTGCAAAAAATTTGAGAGGGGGCCAGAGAAATGATCAAAGGGATACAACAAAGTTTCCACATAAAGATAGGCTAAAACAATTAAAATGTGTGACTACATAAAGACAACATCTGAGAAGTCAGAACAACAGTAATAATAATTGTTGAAAAGGTAACAATGATTTGAGCATTTGCCATGTGCCAGGCATTGAGCGAGATATTTGACCTGCATCTTGATATTACTCTCAATAACCACCCATGGATGGTAACGCGATGACCCACGTCCTAGGAGAGGAAGTTGGGGTAGAGAAGTGAGGGAATCCGCCCCACTGTCCCCAGCTCATGAGCTCAGCAAGCTTGATTCAAATCTGTCTGACTCCAAACCCAGGCTCTTCCTGGTTGGCGCTGCCTTGGCTGTTGGAGACTATATAATAAGGATCACTTTATGGTTTTAGTTGTGGGCTTACAGAAATTAAGTCAAGCAGCAAAGAAGCTAAACACCAGAGTAGGCAAAAAAAGGAGTTAGGTTGATTCATTAATGAGAGCATAACAAAAAAAAAATTTAAGACCATGATGCTTAAGGAGTATACTGAACCACTGAGTTTCATAAATTGGAGGAACTTCACTATGTTCTTCACCAAAAAACTCTTTGGTCATTCACTGTCAAATCCACCTGGATGGATGGACTAGGATAGGTGCTTTTTCACTTTCTCTCTCCTTCCTTCCTCCTTCCATCCCGCGCCCCTCCCTCCTTCCTTTCTCCCTCCTTCCTCCATTCCTTCCTTCTTTCCTTCCTTCCCTTCTTCCTTCATTCCTTTCTTCCTTCCCTCCTTCCTTCCTTCCGTAAATATTTATTCAGCACCAACTACTTTCTGGCCACCGTATTAAATAGAACATAAAACATAGAAAATGAATAATATATAATATAATCCCTCTCCAAAATCGAGTTACATTTTAGGAAAAGGGAAGAAGGAAAGTATTGAAAATCTCCTGTGATGGGTAGCCCATGGTAAGTAACAAAAGAAAAGAATGAAACATGTTTCATGGTTTCATGGGGAATGACATGGTTTGGCTTCACTGTGGAGGGAGCACATGAGCTGGCCCTCGAAGGATGGATGGGACCTTGGAGGTCCTGGTGCTCATGATGGGAGCAGTCCAGCATGGTTCCCAGGCTGTCAACCTGGCGTTCCATTCCCGAGGACGGGAGCACACTGTATTTCT